ATCCAGCGTATTCGAGTTAATGATGAAATTTGGTAACTTGTTCCATTCATCCACTACTCTGTTTCCAAACCAATGTTAACCTATTTCACGCCTAAATCTAAATTTGTCTAATTTAAAACCATTGTTACGAGTTTGCTCCTGGTTGGATAGTTTGAGTACCTTTGTAATGTCCCCTTTGTTTAGCCCTGACTTCCATTTATACACCTCTATCATGTCGCCCCTCGCTCTACGTCTCTCGAGGGAGTGCAAATTAAGATGCCTTAACCTGTCTCTATACTCAAGGTTCCTAATGCCCGGGATTAGTCTTGTCATTCCCCTCTGGATTCTTTCTAAGGATTCTATATCCATTCTGTAATACGGTGACCAGAACTGAACTGCGTAACCCAGGTGAGGTCTCACAAGCGCAAGATATAATCTTAAGATGACCTCACTAGTCTTGTAACAAACACTCCTTTGTATGAACCCAAGTACTTTATTAGCCTTATGACGAGCAAAAACACATTGTTTACTTGGCTTAAGGTTCCTACTTATCATTACTCCTAAATCTCTCTCGCAGTCGGATTTCACAATGGCATCGTTGTTCATCTGGTAACTGGTTTCCCTGTTTACATCTCCTATACTGAGTACTTTACATTTGTCCACATTCAATTTCATCTGCCATTTTTCAGACCATTCGAAAGTTTTTTTTAGATCTTCATGTAGTTTTGCGGAGTCCTCGTCAGATTTAATTACACGTCCTATTTTAGTGTCGTCAGCAAATTTACTTATGTTGCTGTCTATGCCGATATCTATGTCGTTTATGTATATAATAAATAATAATGGTCCAAGTACTGAGCCTTGGGGAACTCTACTAGTGACGTTGCTCCAATGGGATTTAGTGCCGTTAATGCTCACTCGCTGTTTCCTGTCCTGTAACCACGGCCTAATCCATTTTAGAATATTACCTTTAATGCCATGTGCGTCTACCTTTCTTATTAGTCTTTCGTGGGGGACTCTGTCGAAGGCTTTGCTAAAGTTGAGATATACCACATCATAATTGTGCCCCTCGTCCACCGATTCGAAAACTGATGAAAAGAATGTTAATAGATTAGTTAGACATGAACGCCCGCTTGTGAAGCCATGCTGGGAATAATTGATCAATTTGTGCTTCTCCAGGTGGTTTCGAATAGAGTTTGAAATGATTGCTTCCAGTAATTTGCCTACTATTGATGTTAGATTGATCGGGCGGTAGTTAGAGGATAGTGATCTATCCCCCTTCTAGAAAATCGGGATTACATTCAATATCCACCAAGATTCTGGTACTATACCTGTTTTTAAGGACATGTTAAACAACTTTGCTAAGGGCATACTAAGCGCTTCCTTACAATCCTTTAATACTCTGGCAAATATCTCATCGGGACCAGGTGACTTATTAGGCTTTAGCTTGTCTATTTGCTTACTAACATCGTTACTAGTCACTACTATCTCGCTTAATTTGTTTTCTTCACTATCTCTGAATAGAGCCGGTGCCTCGGGTATCATGTTTAAATTTTCGGTGGTGAAAACTGTTGAAAAATATTTATTCAGATTATTGCTCATTTCTCCGTCGTTATCAGTTAGTTCGCCGGTGTCTGACTGTATTGGCCCAATCTTTTCTCGTGTTTTAGTTTGATAAATTTGATAGAATCCCTTGGGGTTTGTCTTCGCCTCCCTTGCTATCCTCAGCTCATTATTCCGCTTTGCTTTCCTTATCTCGGTCTTAACTCTACTCACCAATACCTTATAATAATCCTAGTTGTAAATTTCGCCACGATTTATCCTTCTACCTATAGCCTTCCTTTGACCAACAATGTTCTTTAAATAATTATTTATTAATTTAGGGTCATTGTTGTTTGATCTGAGTTTTTTGTATGGTATGTTCTGCCTTTCTGCATTAAGTAACTCATTATTTAAATTGTCGTGGAACTCGGCAACCTCAGATCTCATTATGAGGTCAGTTTCAACCGTCAGGTCCATGTAGTTCACCCCAAAGCGTGATGCCCCTTCTCTCAACTGCCTCTTCAAACTATCAAAGTTTGCCCTTCTAAAATCTGGGACTTTTGTGGAATTTTCCTTACGGCTGCCCTGAAAATCTAACTGGACTCTAATTTCTTTGTGATCGCTGTTTGCAAGTACGTTCCCTACCTTGACATTACTAATGAGGTTTTCTCTGTTCGACAGAACTAAATCGAGTATATTATTACCCCGGGTGGATTCGGTTATATGTTGACTTAGGAAACAGTCCAGGATCGTTTCAAGAAAATCCTCTGATTCTGAGTTACCCGTAATGTCAATCTAATCTATTTGGCCAAGGTTAAAGTCGCCTACTATACAGACTTTGTTGTGTATGGAAGCCCTGCGCATTTTACCCCAGATAAGTCACTCATTAACTCTATCAAGATTGGGAGGTCTATATATTACTCCTATGATTAATTTATCCCTACCGTCGATTAATTATATCCAAATTGTTTCTGTATTCCACTCAGTTTTTATTTCCTTATTTATTTCACACTTCAGATTATCCCTGACATAAATTGCTACTCCGCCTCCTTTCCTAATCTGCCTATCGGTATGGAATAATTTGTAACCTGCAATTTGGTATTCGACAGGTAACTCACGGGAGTCTAGGTTGATACATGTTTCAGTGAATGCTATTATATCGATTTTTTCGGTACATACCAAGGCCCGAATATCATCCATTTTGTTTCTCATACTTCTACTGTTCGCGTAGTAGACATTTAAGTTAGTAGTGTTCTGAGTCCTCCCGCTGCCGCATTTAGGTTTTAACTCGCTGTCTACTTTAGTTTTGTCATCATTCCTAACACTATTTCCCTGTAACCTTTCACTTTGTTTTCCCGCTCCCACTGCAGTCTCCTCCACCCCCGTGCTCACATGTTCCCCTAGCAGTTTAAAGACTTCGACATCTTTTGGACTGCCCTTTCGAGAGTCCCAGCCAGGGTTGCTACTCCATCCCTAGACAGATGCACCCCATCCCTAGCATAAGGGTCCCTTCTGCCGTAGAAGTTGTCCCAGTTGTCAATGAATGGTACTGATATTGACTTGCAATATCTGTGAAGACGGCCGTTGACACCAACTGCCCTTGACAACCATTCATTTCCAACTCTCCTTCTAGGCAGGACAACACATATGATAGGGATCTCTCCCTTAGACCTAACACGTTCTATAGCTGTCTTGAACTTATCAAGAAGCTCCTCACTCCTACACCGGCCAATATCATTGCCTCCTGCACTAAGACAGATAATGGGTTTGTTCCCATTACCAGACAAGATATTGTCTATCCTGTCAACTATATCCCCCACCCCAGCTCCTGGCAAACACACCCTCATCCTATTTTTATCTTTACAGCAAAAAGCTCTGTCCATGTACTGTACCTGTGAGTCGCCAACAATCAAGATTTTCTTACCTTCCTTGTCAGCTTTGTCCCTGACTATACTAACGTCCAATTCATCTATCAAGGGACTGAAAGAGTTGGTACACTTAGCTGCTGTTGTCGTTGTTGTCGTATCCTTGGTGTGATTTTTCACTACTAGTTTGGTTGTCCCTCTCCTCACAACCTTCTATTCGCCTGAGTTTTCGTCATTCACCGGCTTTCCTTGCCTCGTTTCTTCCTTCATCCTTGCTATCTCTTCTTTTAATTTCAAGATATCTTCCTTGGCCGTCTCCAACTCGTCCCTCAGAAGGGCACAGCCCTGTTCACAAGTAGCACTTGTCATTACTGACAATTTATCCCCGGGAGCTAAGACGCTGTGACCTTTCCTCTAGCGAGGTCAGAAGACAACTGATATGTCTGTCCATACCAATATGTCTGTCAGTCTATTTGGTTAGCAAGACGCAGGGGATCACGAACAAGACAAACACACACACACACACACACACACACACACACACACACACACACACACACACACACACACACACACACACACCCACACACACACACACACACACACCCACACACACACACACACACACACACACACACACACACACACACACACACACACACACACACACACACACACACATACATACATTGACGGTAGCCGACCTTGTCTTTCACCTCAAAGAAAAAAAATAAGAATCTATGGATCGCAGGAGATAAGATTACGTCATCCTCTTAACGACCTCCAGATTATATGAGAGAGAGAGAAAAGAAAGAGGGAATACTTGTCTCCTCTATTTGTATATGTCTCTCTATCTGTATTATTTGTTCGCTTCTCCCTGTCTCTCAAGAAAATGTAATATCAATATCCCATAGACATGAAAGGGGACAGACTTTGATGTAACTCAGCCAAGCTCTCCTTTTGATGTAAAGGACGGAAGGTTAGTGTCAGTGGGCAAAGTAAATAGGAATCCCATGTTGATCAGAGTGAGTGGTGAGAGATGTGTTTGTGTGTGTGTGTGTGTGTGGTAGTAGTAGTAGTAGTAGTAGTAATAGGATAGCTACTTATGTATTAGGATAGTTAATATTAAGGTAATAAAATGGCGGCGAAGGTATGGCTATTGGGGGAGGCTGTAGGCCATTTAAAAAAAAATAATAGTAGTAGTAGATGTATCCCGCTTTGGTACTCCCCTACTCATAGTCTTAAAAACAAAAATTACTTGGTTTACTGTGTACCTTTAATGACTGCCCTTGGTGGTTCCTGCGGTTAAAGAGTTTTATTGCGTTGACTTGTGTGTTTTGATTCGATTGATTTATACTGTGTAGTTATGATTGTGGCTCCTTCGCCATTAGTATTGTTTTGATGGGCCGTCTTTGATATTGTGTATGGTCCTGATTATTATTATTATTATTATTATTATTATTATTATTATCATCATCATCTTCACCTCTTATCTTACCGTAACATGTATCAGGTCACTATAACGTGCACTAGATAATACCTTTAGCTCACCTCTTCACCGTGATGTTATCCTGCCCGACTGATCCTTAACACCGTGTCCTCTCGCTCTCCTTACAGTTCCTCCAGGACCTCCCATCATCCTTAATAAGATCGGAGGGCAATTGGGCCACGCCGTAGGACCCCTGGAGGAAGGTTCCCACACCCAGCTTACCTGCAGGTCGGTGGGCGGCTACCCTACCCCCACACTCACCTGGTGGAAGAACGGAGAGAGGCTGGACCAGGTAAGACTTGAGGTGAGGTGTAGACGGTGTGAGTTGAGAGAGAGAGAGAGAGAGAGAGAGAGAGAGAGATACGAGCAACCATACTCCATAATACACTCTGAATATCCTCCTCCTCCTTTTCCTCTTCCTGCTTCTCCTCCTCCTCCTCCTCCTCCTCCTCCTTCTCTCTCTAATTCTCCTCTCGTTCTTATAAACAAGCGCCCATTCCCTTCGACGCATTATTCAGATGAGATTAAACATAATATGGTCTCTCAGTTTTTATAGATTCTAAATTTAACTCCAGGAATAATATCATTTCTCACGGCTGAGTCTCTGATGTTTTCCTTCTTGCGAAAAAAAAATCGATATATTTTTTTTTTTTAGATTTTTTATCTCGTACTAAATCTTGGTTTTTGGATGATGTAGGAAGTTAATGTGGAATTATGTCACTAGAGATATTCTACGTTATGTGTACAGTACTGCTATTCGTGTGCTTAGGGTGTGTGTACAAAAAAAAGTATTAATTACTCTTTGTAAATCATGGCTCGTAAATCACTGTTATTATGATAAGGATCGTTAATCACTGCTTGTTTGTAAGTCTTGGTATGTAAATGAGTGTTTGTTTGTAAGTCTTGGTATGTAAATCAGAGTTTATTTATAAATCGTGGATTGTAAATCAAATTAGTACGTCATGGTTCGTAAATCACTGTATCGTTCATGTACAGACAGTAAATAAAAAAATAACATTACTAGCAAGTTTGTAAATCACACATTTTATCACTCATAATAAACGTAAATAATTTTGTCTGTAAACACTGGTAGACGTAATACCCTCTTGTAAAACTACTCTTAATCTGACAGAACTTACACAGGGGAAAGCAGGAGTATTCTTACATGTTAAATAAAGCAAAATAAAATTGAGTTTATAAAGGACTCAAATATTCAGAGTAAACATACCAGTGTAATAGAGATTTTTTAAAGAATTACAATATAGTTAGGGATTGAGAATATAATACTTAACTAACTAGATTCTCTGACTTATTCTGATGCTGTCCGTAGCCTGAAGGTAATAATAATAAAAATAATAATAATAATAATGATAATAATAATACTCTACATACTGAGAAATATACACTCATCATTTCTATGTGTATACCAGTATTGCATAAACCTATTCTTTAACAATAAACAAAAGCTGATTTTCGATGTTTTTTTGTTAATCACTGCAACCCCTTTTTTTTCACATGCTGGTGGTAATGCTGGTAAGGCTGTGTTGAAGTAAGGGAAAATTCATTATAGAGTGAAAGCCTTTAATATGTCCATTGGTGTAGGGGGGGGGGGGGTTCTATATGTCCTTCTAGTTCTCAGTCCATAGAGCCTTGAGTGCATCCAGGCATTAAAAGTAACGAATCAAAGTAACGAAGTAAAAGTAGCGATGATTGTCTGAAATGTTACTCAAGTAAAAGTTCCAGGAAGAAAAGATACTTATTAAAAAAAATAGTCATTGGAACTCGGGACCTTGAAGTTCTATATGTATGAAAGGAATAAAGATTTAACATTATAATTTACAAAAAGATATCAGAAATACATTGACCTTTAAATGTTGCCCAATACATGGCTGATACGATCTGTGATTGGTTAAAATGTCGTGTAACTTCATCTGTTGGTTTTCAATTATTTTCTAATGTTTTTTCGTTTTTCTTCACATATTTTGAAATGTTAATTATTGGTATTTCGCATTTTATCTTTTATTTTATATTTTATTTTTATTTTATTTTTTTTTAGATATTACTGATTATTGAGACCTTTGAGGCCAGGTGTATTGAAGTGAATTTTAAATTGAGGTGAGGTGAGGTAAAGTGAGCGTGTCTGAGATGAGGTGAGGTGAGTTAAAGTTAGCTTATTTGAGGTGACGTGAGGTGAGGTGAAAGTATCTGAGGTGAGATGAGGTTAGATTAGAGTGTCTGAGGTGAGGTGAGGTGAGGTGAGTTAAAGTTAGCTTATTTGAGGTGACGTGAGGTGAAAGTATCTGAGGTGAGATGAGGTTAGATTAGAGTGTCTGAGGTGAGGTGAAATGAGGTAAGATGAGGTGAGGTGAGGCTGGGGACCTTCAGGCAGAAACGTGTCTCAGCGTCGACTTGCCGGATGAGCTTCTAAATCCTCATGCAATATGATAATGAATCATCTATCACCACTACCACCATTCCAACTACCACCATCACTACCACCATTCCTACCACCACCACCACCACCACTACTACCATCCCTACCACTACCACCATCCAAACCACCACTACCAACACCATCCATACCCCTACAACCACCACCATCCCTACCACTACCACCACCACCATCCATACCACTACAACCACCACCATCCCTACCACCACCACTACCACCACCGCTTTCATTCACTGTAGAGGATAAGTTGTAAACGTTATTATTGGCTGTTGATTAATAACACTAAGATTGTTCTGGTTGTCTGAGGTTTACAGCAGCCAACATCAACGACAGAAATGGCCCCAATAAACATAATGGCTCCAGCGTCAGCAAAACAGCCTAAAAAAGTCGGGAAGATCAGCACCCTTTCTGTCAGTAACACCATCACTGTCAGCAGCATCATCATCACTGTCAGCATCATCATCATCATCGCTGTCAGTAGCGCCATCGTCACTATCAGCAGCATCATTATCACTGTCAGCATCATCATCATCATCGCTGTCAGTAGCGCCATCGTCACTATCAGCAGCATCATTATCACTGTCAGCAACACCATTATCACTGTCAGCAGCACCATAACCATAAATGTCATCACCTTGACTACCAACACTGTCAGCAGCAGATACAGCAAGAACTAAGGCTATCAGTTACTGAAGGAATAGTGAGCTAGGGTAAAACAGCAACGACACAGCAGCAATAACAGCAGTGAAAATAGGGCAGCAGATAGGTCCGAGAGAGAGAGAGAATACATTAGGAGTGTGTGAATCGTCTTCCTCCTCACACACACACACGGGAGGAGCAATGTTGATCTTCACGCCCTCGAGGGTTTATGACTACATTACCTCACAAAATCTAGTTGCACGGTGAGCGAATTTCTTGCGAAAAATTATTTACCAATTTTTTTTTTTTGGGGGGAGGGTAGGTGAAGTGTGTGTGTGTGTGTACTCAAGCCTGCGTGAGGGTACGCCTCCCATGAGTGATAGTCTTACTCGTTTTCCCGTGAGTGTTTACTTCTCACTCGACAACAGTACTGTATGTCAACTAGCATTCACTTCCTCCTCCCCCCGAAAAAAAAATTACGTGATTTGGCTCCTTCTGAATTTATATACAAAAGGTGTCCACTTACAGACAGGCAGAAGGGAGGACTAGACTGCTCTATTCTCTCTCACAGGAACACAGAGGACCTTCCTGACGCAGAAGTAATTACGCTGGTCCTCTTTGATGTAACATTCACCAGACGCTCCTCTTTGATAGTAACATTCACCAGACTTGAATATAAATTCTAATCGTTTCGTCCCCCCCCCCAGTATGTTGTTGCTCTATGAACGTGTAAAAATGGTATTGAAATTGGTACATCAGTTATTGACGTATTTTGGTGACGAAATATATAATATACATACGTTACATACATACATACATACATACATACATACATACATACATACATACATACATACATACATACATACATACATACATACATACGTAAATTACATAAATGAATTTACTGTCTACATATACTAAGTGTATAGGATACTTGTTCATTCGTGTGTGTGTGTGTGAGGGTTAACAAATAGACAATTTATTTAATTTAGTTCAATCATTAATTTTATCGAACAGTTGTAATAAGGCGTATACTGTTTACAGCACTTCACACACACACACACACACACACACACACACACACACACACACACACACACACACACACACACACACACACACACACACACACACACACACACACACACACACACACACACACACACACACACATTGTTTTTTTTACCTAAGGACAATATCAAGGATTCGAGCATGGAGATTGGTCTGTATCTCTATGTCTCTCTCTCTCTTGCTTTCTCTCTCTCTCTCTGTCTCACTCTCTTAGGCTGTACGTGTTGATCTTCTGCAGGTGAGCAGCATCCGGGGAACGGGCGTGGAGGCGAGAGTGATGTTTGAGGCGGCGAGAGATGTTCAGGGCGCCACCCTTACCTGCCAGGCTCTCAACAATAACATCACTGAGCCTTCCTCCACCTCCCTCACCGTCAACGTCCTGCGTGAGTATCCTATAGGAGTAGGAGGAGGGGATGGAGGACAGGAGGGGGAGGGAGGAAGGAGCGATGGAAAGAAGGGGTGGACTGAGGTAAGGAAGGAGGTAAGGAGGCAAGGAAGAAGGAGAGGTACTGAGGTAAAGAAGTAGAGAGGGAGGGACTTCACTACACACCCTGAGTGCCGCGTGTAGTGCCACCATCCCCGGTCGTTGGCACTGTTCCCGGGGAAAGTTGAACAGTTCCATGACCATAAAACACAAGTATTATCAAACAAAGGAAAATAATACCCCAGAAAATATTGTTTAACTTCTCAGATGACATAAAAAAATTAAATAATACGACTGTGAAAAAAAAGTCAATAATGAATAAAAAAAAGTAATTGATAAAAAAAAAGATTGAAGCAATTTTGAATAAGTATTAAAATATTTACTTGATGTTGTCAGGTAAACATCAATGATAAACACGACATAAATTGTTATCAAATTCAAGTGATTGTGTCTCGTCTTATTTTAATATGAAAAAAAAAAATACTGACCTCTTTCGGGTCTCTCTCGTATATCCTGGAATAAAAAAAAATCTCATGTTATTTTTTCCCCGGATGGTCTTGTTTAATCTTTACCTTGGTAGTAAAATTTACGATCGGTCGAGTGATTGGAAAAGAGTATTTTTTACGTCCAGCCTAATTGTAAGAGTAAATAATGATTATGGAATGGATGAGTAAAGGAAAGAATGAAGGAGAAGAAGAGGAGGGGGTTGAAGAGGGAGATGATTGAGAGGAGAATGAAGAAAAATGAAGGAAGAATTGGAAAAAAATATATTTGAAGGAAGAGGAGTAGGATGCGAATATAATGAGGAGGAAAGAGATGGATAAGGGAGTGAAGAAGACGGAGAAGATGGAAGAGGGATAAGGAGAAAGAAGAGGGCGGGGTGGAGATGAAGAAAAATTGGAGGAGAAAGAGAAAAATAAGAAGAAGGAACAGAAAGAGGGAGAAAGAGAGCAAGAGAAGAAAAGGTGAAAGAAAGAAGAAAACGGAGGAGGAAGAGGAAGGCGTGGGGGAGCAAGACCAAAGAAGGAGAAGGAAGAGGAAGAAGAGGAGAAGGAGGAAGAAGAGGAGGAGGAGAGTCATTGAGCGAATTGAAGAGAAGCAGTAAAGAGGAAGATTACGAAACTGAGGAGATCAGTAAGAGTTAAGAGGCGATAAAGAGGGCGCAGGAGGCTGCTAATGGATAGAGCGAGATAGAAGGACTTAAGAGACGACGAAGAGGAAGACCTAAAGAAGACGGTGATAAAGAAGGGAATGATGATGATGATAACGAAAACTGATAATAACGAGAGAAGAAAATAAGAACAGGAAAGAGGTAACGATGATGATGGTCACAGGTGCGGGAATGTATAAAGCGAATAAAGAATGGAGAATCCCTGTCGCAATGAGCTAATCAAAGACCCTATTGTTTACACCATAACCCTACTCACACACACACACACACACACACACACACTCAACGATAGGGTTATGACGGTGTATACATTAATCGCTAATATAATTATGAAAAAAAAACGTAGGAACATCTTCAAGGAGAGAGGTCGATCAACGAAGAGTCCTGTCGCAAAAAGGCGTTTTGTGTTAGTTTGGAAGGATATTGAAGGAGAGTGTACAGAGTGGAGTGGCGGTGTCCTGCAGAAGGGAGAAGGAGGGAGAAGGAGTGAGGGTGGAAGGGAGAAGGAAGGAAGGAGAAAGGGAGAGAAGAAGGGAGTGAGAAAGGGAGGAATGAAGGGAGAAAGAGGGAGGCACTGAGGGTGAAGGATGGTGAGAGGGAAGGAAGGGAGTCGATCAACGAAGAGTCCTGTCGCAAAAAGGCGTTTTGTGTTAGTTTGGAAGGATATTGAAGGAGAGTGTACAGAGTGGAGTGGCGGTGTCCTGCAGAAGGGAGAAGGAGGGAGAAGGAGTGAGGGTGGAAGGGAGAAGGAAGGAAGGAGAAAGGGAGAGAAGAAGGGAGTGAGAAAGGGAGGAATGAAGGGAGAAAGAGGGAGGCACTGAGGGTGAAGGATGGTGAGAGGGAAGGAAGGGAGAAAAGAAACGAGGGATGGATGGAGGGTGGAAAAAGGGTGGATGGAGAGAGAGGCAGAGAAGAGGGAAAGGGAGGGAAGGATAGAGGAAGGAGGGGGGGGCAGGGTGGAAGCATGGGATGTCGGCGGTGTTTGCACATCCCTAACCATCCTTAGCTCCTGGGGGGAGGGGGTTACTTGAGACGGTGCTGGTAGTGAAGACAGGAGGATGTGTCCATGTGAGGCTGAGGGAGGGAGATAACGGGAGGGAGGAAGGGAAGAAAGAAGGAGGGAGGGAGGAAAGGAGGGAGGAAAGGAGGGAGGGAGTGTCTATGTGACGTTGAGGGAGGGAGAAAGAACAGGAGAGAGGGAGACTAGGAGTGAGAGAAGTTGGAAGAGAGAGAGTGAGAGAGAGAGAGAGGGGGGGGGGGGTGAAACACCTACACTGATGTATTGTTTCCAGACCACCGGAGATAATTTTAATTCTCTCGGATTAATTAATTTCCACCTAAACAATCACCCCTTGTCCTGCTCTCTCTCTCTCTCTCTCTTTCTCACACACACACACAATCTATCTGTTTATCTGCCTGTCTTTCATTTTATCTACTTATCTACTTATGTATGTATGGATGTATGTATGTATGTATGTATGGATGTATGTATGTATGTATGTAATGTATGTATGTATATTTGTATGTATGTATGATCCCAATCTCTCATTTTCTTTCCTGCCACCAAATATGAATACGGTAGTAATATACTTAATATACTTAGACATAATAAGCTCACTCTCCGCCCTGAACAGAGATTAATTTTATGAAACCAGGCTAGTCCACCTGTCTTAATTAAACAGGTAACAATAGGAAGCACACCTCAACTACCTGCCTGGCTTCATCTGATTCGGTATCATTTGCACTGACACCACGTGGAAAAAAAGGTTGTCAGCTGCCCTCAGTATTCCTCGAGCTCTGACAACACTCCGAGAGCCTTACGAACGCTCCCTCGCCTCTGATATCATTCCTATATCATTGATAACGTTATTAAGATTCTTTCATTATTATATCGTCCTTGAGAACAATCTTACGTGTGCATATCATTTTTTTTGTGGTGTGTGTGTGTGTGTGTGTGTGTGTGTGTGTGTGTGTGTGTGTGTGTGTGTGTGTGTGTGTGTGTTACCTCCCCCTCCGTCCCAGACACCTCCCGACAACACGCCACAGTAACCCTGGCCTCACTACGAGTATATTCTTCAGGATCTACACGCGTGATAGGAACTTTTTTTTGTATTCCCTCTTTGCATGACGTTTTGACTCTACTAAGCATTTTGTTACCTGGAAAATTTGCATATAAATCAACTAGGTTCTTCACTGCGCTATCTGAGAATGTTCCCACACACAACTGCGCCGCCTTCGTTGTTCCTCCCCTGGGACTGACAACAACATTTCGATTCAGCGTTCTCAGACTTGGCTTCAAACGGAAAATTAATTAGGAGCTTTGTGCCGGTAAGACGAAGAGGCCCCACTCCCCCGCCGCCCCCCGTGTCATTAGACCAAGACTGGTCCTAAGCGGCGATGTTTAGGATCTATAATGTGAAACGTTGTGGTAGGTAGTGTGTGTGTGTGTGTGTGTGTGTGTGTGTGTGTGTCTAACCGTGATCGATTGAAATGAAGCAACATTACCTTAGAACTGGACCCAAAAATAATCTTGTCATGTCGGACTTACACACACACACACACACACACACACACACACACACACACACACACACACACACACACACATATCAGAATAGAATTGTTTCAGTTGTCATGACCAGCACAGGGTACACCATCCCCCTTATGTATTCGCGTTTGGAAAAGTTATTACAAGAAAGATGAGAAAATACAGTAGGAGAAATTTCGTAGTATTAAGTGAGTCTGAAAAAAAAATACTTTTCTTTTTACTCATACTAATTTACACACTGTACTGATACTGTAGTTATTAGTATGTGCTGTACTTAGTGTGAGGTACAAGAGAGGAGAGAGAAAAAGCTAATAAGACATTTTACAGACTTTTACAGACATTCTACAGTACAAGTGAAACGACGGGAAGATTTATCTGGAGATATAAAAGACATTTAAACAAGAGAGAGAGAGAGAGAGAGAGAAGTAGGAAATTGACAGACAGACAGACAAACAGACAGACAGACATACAGAAAATGAGACATGTAGATAGACAGAAACCGATAAAAAGAGATAGATAGATAGATAGATGAATGAATGAATGAATGAATGAATGAATGGCCTAAACAAAACAAAATCCTCCAATCTGACTGACCCAAAGAAAGCATCGTTCATGATAGCATACACACACAGAGTCCACCCAACCTTACCCAACCTTAGAGGGACAATCCATACACAAGACGAATGAATAAACCAACAGACAAACAATAACAGATTCAAGTTATATATACCAGGAAGAATACACGTGGGGTGGGAATAATAAAAGGGGAGAAGGAGAATAAGATAACAAGGGAATAGACGTTTTAATTAACAGAATAAAAGGGGGGTAGATGATAACAGAGAGAGTAAACGAAGGAATAATATGATAACGAAGAGACATAGACACATGGGAAGGATGGAAAGGGTATAGAAGGTGATAAATTGGAATAAAACTTAATTATGGAGAGAAGCCTCAGGCACATAGGGATGACAACAAAGGTGATGTTTGGGGAGAGAGAGAGAGAGAGAGGTTGTATGGTGATAGATAGTTCTCTCTATTAGTCTGTATATAATAGATGCAGATGTAGGTCAGAAAAAGTTAGCAGGTCTAGGTGTAGGTCAACAGGTCCAGGTACAGGTCAGAAACAGTCGGTAGGTCCAGGTATAGGTCAACAGGTCCAGGTACAGGTCAGAAACAGTCAGTAACCAGGTCTTCATCAGGGCTACAATACCCAGCCTACAATAACCACTAGCATCTCTCTCTGGGGTAATGGACGAGAAGAGATTAACTGTGATAACGCAGAGGCACAATGGTTCCCCCTCTGCCCTTGTGGACCAGAGGAGGGAGAGGAGGAAGAGGAAGAAGAAGAAGAAGAGAGGAGGTTGGGAGTACGTGGAAGTTGTGGAGGAAACGAAAGGGAAGAGATAAGAAGAGATAATTGTTTCCTTTGTGTCATTACCTGCAGTTATCAGCGAGTACCCTCGTTTTTGTGTCTGGCCAACGAGTGGTTTGTTTTGGCTTTGTTTTGTTGTGTTATTACGAGATGTTAGTATTTCCTAAAACGTGTATGGTAATAAAATAATAAAAAAAATAAAAAAAAAAAAAAAAAAAAAAAAAACACAACACACTGAAATACAATAAACAGAGCTGAAATACACTAAATAAGGTTACAGTGAGTAAGAAACACGGGGTCAACACACACGCTACAGAAACTCAACGAGAGGCTAGTCTTGTAGGCCCTGATGCAGCTGTGGTGTTGGGCAGCTGCACGTGGCTGAGATCCGTGATGATGATGTGGCAGCTGTACATCAAACTGGTAGCTGGAGATATAAATGAAGATCAGAGGGACTTGAGAGGGCCAGTGTGCTAAGTGCCACTTGATTGATGGCTTATGTAGGCTCTATGGCACTGTTGCCTGTCCATTGTAACGTGGTGTTTAGCTTGACGTTTTTAAAATGATGTTATTAGACCTCACTTGTAGCTGGGTGAGGGAGGGGGGCAACCCACGATAGTCCCCAAGTGGTCGTGCTAGCGGGGTCTACATAGCATATACCTGGGAGTGACGTGTTGGTTACTTGTGGAGAGATGAGGGGGAGGAGGTGGGATGGGAGTCGATAAGTTGACCACCAGGCAGCTCAGTACAGAGAGACATAATGTGACGGTTTTACTCCATGTTAGCAGACGTTTGTGTGTGTGTGTGTGTGTGTGTGTGTGTGTGTGTGTGTGTGTGTGTGTGTGTGTGTACGGGCAGAAGCATCTGTGTATGAGTGTATGTGTATATGTACACTGTTTAGTCTTAAGTCAAAATATTAACTTTGATATATATTCTTTTCTGTTGAGTTCAATCATTCATGACAACACCCTCACCATGGCAACACTATCCAGACACCAACACACTGCAAAACACACACACACACACACGAGAAAATAATCCTTCTTTATAATTATAGTCGGAGGTAAATACCAAAATTCGTTGACATTAGATAAGCAAAATGACAGACTGGTTACGGGTCCTGACGGGAATAAAACTCGGCAGCGTTAAATGATATTCCGGTTTACTCTCCACGTCGTAACTCGATTCCCGTATCATTTATCAGATTTCAATATGTTTAGGGGGTCATATTTTCATTATAATTCACAGTATTTTGGGAGTGTTTTATGACAGCCAGTTGATTAGTTTTTGTTTTTGTTTTATCTGGATTTTGTTTTGTTGTTTGTTTTGTAAAGACAATGGAGAAACAAATCTCTCTCCCACACGCGTGAAGATAATTAAGAAAGATGGTCATTATTTTTGTGTTTCTTGATTTTCTTTTATGTATTATTTTATTTTTACTGTTAACTCATTCAATTATACATATACATCTTCAACCATCACATACATGCAGTGCCAGTGGGTGGGGAGGTGCAGTGGGTGGGAGAGAGTGCCAGTGGGTGGGAGAGTGCCAGTGGGTGGAGAGAGCCAGGGAGAGCAGTGGGTGGAGAGAGCGTGGGTGGAGAGAGTGCCAGTGGGGGGAGAGAGGCTGGGTGGAGAGAGTACCAGTGGGTGGAGAGAGTGCCAGTGGTGGAGAGAGTGCCAGTGGGTGGAGAGAGTGCCAGTGGGTGGAGAGCAGTGGGTGGAGAGAGGCAGTGGTGGAGAGAGGCCAGTGGGGGAGAGAGTGCCAGTGGGTGGAGAGAGCACAGTGGGGTGGAGAGAGTGCCAGTGGGTGGAGAGAAAGGTGGAGAGTGCCAGTGGTGGAGAGAGTGCCAGTGGGTGAGAGAGTGCCAGTGGGTGGAGAGAGTGCCAGTGGGGGAGAGAGTGCCAGTGGGTGGAGAGAGAGTGCCAGTGGGTGGAGAGAGTGCCAGTGGGTGGGAGAGTGCAGTGGGTGGGAGAGAGTGCCAGTGGGTGGAGAGAGTGCCAGGGGGGAGAGAGTGCCAGTGGGTGGGAGAGTGCCAGTGGGTGGAGAGAGGCCAGTGGGTGGAGAGGAAGCAGGGGGGGAGAGAGTACAGTGGGTGGAGAGAGTGCCAGTGGGTGGAGAGAGTTGGGTGGAGAGAGTTGAGTGGGAGTGGAGAGAGTGCCAGTGGGTGGAGAGAGAGTGCCAGTGGGTGGGAGAGAGTGCCAGTGGGTGGAGAGAGCAGTGGGTGGAGAGTGCCAGGGTGGAGAGAGTGCCAGTGGGTGAAGAGTGCCAGTGGGTGGAGAGAGTGCCAGTGGGTGGGAGAGAGTGCCAGTGGGTGGAAAGAGTGCCAGTGGGTGAGAGGAGTGCCAGTGGGGGAGAGTGCCAGTGGGTGGAGAGAGTGCCAGTGGGTGGAGAGAGTGCCAGTGGTGGAGAGAGTGCCAGTGGGTGGAGAGTGCCAGTGGGTGGAGAGAGTGCCAGGGTGGAGAGAGGCAGGTGGGAGAGAGTGCCAGTGGGTGGGAGAGAGTGCCAGTGGGTGGAGAGAGTGCAGTGGGGGGAAAGCAGGAGAGAGTACCAGGTGGGTGGAGAGGTGCCAGGGGTGGGAGAGTGCCAGTGGGTGGAGAGAGTGCCAGTGGGTGGAGAGAGTGCCAGTGGGTGGAGAGAGTGCCAGTGGGGGAGAGCCAGTGGGTGGAGAGAGTGCCAGGGTGGAGAGAGTGCCAGTGGGGGAGAGAGGCCAGTGGGTGGAGAGAGTGCCAGTGGGGGAGAGAGAGCAGGGGTGGAGAGAGTGCCAGTGGGTGGAGAGGCCAGGGGGAGAGAGTGCCAGTGGGGAGAGAGTGCCAGTGGGGGAGAGTGCCAGTGGGGGAGAGAGCCAGTGGGTGGAGAGTGCCAGTGGGGGAGAGTGCCAGTGGGGGAGAGAGTGCCAGGGGTGGAGAGAGTGCCAGTGGGTGGAGAGAGTGCCAGTGGGTGGAGAGAGTGCCAGTGGGGAGCAGGCCAGTGGGAGAGAGTGCAGTGGTGGGAGAGAGTGCCAGTGGGCGAGAGGTGCCAGTGGGGGAAGAGTGCCATTGGGGAGAGAGTACAGTGGGTGGAGAGAGTGCCAGTGGGGGGAGAGTGCCAGTGGGGGAGAGAGTGCCAGTGGGTGGGGAGAGTGCCAGTGGGAGAGAGTGCCAGTGGGTGGAGAGTGCCAGTGGGGAGAGATGCCAGTGGGTGGAGAGAGTGCCAGTGGGGAGAGAGTGCCAGTGGGGGAGAGTGCCAGTGGGTGGAGAGAGTGCTGTGGTGGAAGGTACCAGTGGGTGGAGAGTGCCAGTGGGCGAGAGATGATGGGGAGAGTGCCATTGGGGGAGAAGTACCAGTGGGTGGAGAGTGCCAGTGGGAGAGTGCCAGTGGGGGAGAGAGTGCCAGTGGGTGGGAGAATGCCATTGGGTGGAGAGAGTGCCAGTAGGTGGAGAGAGTGCCAGTGGGTGGAGAGAGTGCCAGTGGGTGGAGAGAGTGCCAGTGGGTGGAGAGAGTGCCAGTGAGTGGAGAGAGTGCCAGTTAGGACAGGCCGTAAATAATTAAAAAGAACTGTAGGTCAACCTGGAATTTAGCACACACTAAATATCACGCAGATAATTCTTTAAACAGTAAACACAGGTCTTTAAAGGTCCCTTCCATGTTGAATGGCTCTCCTCTTCCTTCTCAATGACTAACCAAACTTCTCCTATTCACTCCCACACTCTACCCAGCTAAGGCTCCCACAATGCTTCATAAACATTGACCTTAAATCCTGTCTCTTCTACAACAATTCTCTATCTTCTATAATAATGGGTTAACTCATTCCTTTAATCCCGGTTACAATACATTTTTTTTTTGTTACTTTAGTATATCTACGTAATTCACTCTTAACTCTGTATTAAATGATCGAGTTTATTTTTCGGTCTTGTTCAGTGACATGACAATAATATTTCGATCAGTTTATTCCAGTTTGATCAAGATTATTTTCTGGATCAACACCTTCAGTATGTTGATTCATTTACCTGTATGTTGTGTGTGATTGATCAAATTTATTCTTTCATTTATCCTAATTTATCACCGTGGTTGATTGAATTATTCTTTATCATCGTCTACAGTACGCCCATTGTCGGTGGAGATCGTGGGCGGTGTGGGGAAACTGTCAGCAGGTCGGCCCGTGGAGTTGGTTTGTCGGGCGGTCGGGTCACGCCCTCCCGCCCGTATCACCTGGTGGCGCGACTCACAGCAAATCACTGACGTCACGCACACGGTAGGTTGCCAACGTTTGTTTCTGTTTGTCTATAATATAATATCGGGTGTTATATTGTTGTTGTTGTTGTTGATCTGTCATGGTTGTTTGTGGCTCATGTTTACAAGTCACGTGAGTACTGGTTTTCTCTCTCTCTCTTTCTCTCTCTCTCTCTTTTTTTTTCTCTCTCTCTCTCTCTCTCCTTCCCTCATCCTTCATCTCCTTCCCTGCTTTACTTATCCTCACGTAAACACACACACACACACACACACACACACACCACTACCACCCACTGTGTAGCCTAACCTCTCTCTCTCTCTCTCTCTCTCACATCCCTCCTTCTCCTCCTCACAGGTGATGAACGGAGGTAACGTCACAACAGGTTCGGTTATCCTAATGCCAACGCGACAAGATGACGGGAAACACATCACCTGTCGTGCCTCTAACCCCGACATACAACACTCTATGCTGGAAGACTCGGCAATCCTCACAATACGATGTAAGTCACTTTGTATGTTCCAGCCTTTGTTATTGAGTCACTTTGTATGTTCCAGTCTTTGTAGTATGAGTCATTTTGTACTGTATGTTCCAGCCTTAGTAGTATGAGTCACCTTGTACTGTATGTTCCAGCCTTAGTGGTTGAATGTGGGTGCGCCAAGTCCGTAGACTTGCTAGTGATTAGTATGAGTCACCTTGTATGTTCCAGTCTTTGTAGTATGAGTCACTTTGTATGTTCCAGCCTTAGTAGTATGAGTCACCTTGTATGTTCCAGCCTTAGTAGTATGAGTCACCTTGTATGTTCCAGCCTTAGTAGTATGAGTCACCTTGCTTATAATTACCCTCCAGTGTCTAATTTATTTTCTACGGGAATAATTTTATGATAAATCTATTTTTTTGTGTGTGTGATGGATTTAAACACAGAAATGATTCTTCTAAAAAGTTTATATATTCTTACTAATCTCTCGAGGTTATAATATTTTGTAGATAACACCACGAAATAATTCTTGATTTTTTTTTCCCAATTCGTTACGTGTCATCAGTTTCTTAGGCAAATTAAGACTCCCATCACTTCACCATAAGCTCTTAGGTGTGTGTGTGTGTGTGTGTGTGTGTGTGTGTGTGTGTGTGTGTGTGTGTGTGTGTGTGTGTGCCAACTTTACCAGTAATGAGAATGTACTGTACTGGATGGGTGTCATGCGTGTACATTAAAATATCTCACTCACTCACTCACTCACTCACATACCGAAGATTTACTTGTCTTTGTTTTTGTTTCAATGATTGTCTAAGGGTAAAGCGACCGAGTGGAGACATCACTCACTGCCTGTCCTAAAAGTCTCTAGTTTGATTCCGAGGCACCCCTAGTCCACCCAACTGTATATGGGTACCTTATTTAGTTTAGAAGGTGAAAGACGATAGTGTGCAGTGTCAACCAAGGCGTGTTGATATTGACAGAATGTTTACTGTTTAGTGTGAAGTATCCACACTCTCCTAAACTGCTTTTATTACGTGTAGTTAATATTCTAATGTATAACACCTGGCTCACCTTTTACTCTGGGCCAATATAAGCGCGTGGGTTGATGTAAATATATCTAGTGTTATTGTCATGTGTTAACCAAGTGAAAAGTGTGTGATGAAAAGTGCATTTTAGTTAGTACAGGTAAAGTGTGTTGGATATTGAAATACGTACACATGACTACGCTTACACATACACACACACACATACACACACACACACATACACACACACACTCACACACACACACACACACACACACACACACACACACACACACACACACACACACACACACACACACACACACACACACACACACACACACACACACACACACACACAATCTTACGCTTACAAACAACGCAATATGTTTATACAACTATGACTGCATATAAAAACTCACCTGTGACAATATCAACGTAATTAATTAAAAGTTATAACATAAAAATTACCTGTAACAATGTATTTACTTTTATAATGGTTAATTAAACCCATGGAAGTCCAACAATGTACTTACCCTCACTAGGATTAAAAACCAACACGTACTTACCCTACCTAGGATAAGAGCCGGAAGTATACTTACCCTTTCTAGGATACAGGGCAGTACATATTTGCCCTTCCTAGGATAAACCCAACACGTACTTATCCTCCCTAGGATAAAGCCAACACGTACTTACCCTTCCTAGGATAAAGACCAACAGTGTACTTACCCTTCCTAGGATAAAGCCAACACGTACTTACCCTTCCTATGATAAAGACCAACGGTGTACTTACCCTCCCTAGGATAAACCCAACACGTACTTACCCTTCCTAGGATAAACCCAACACGTACTTACCCTTCCTATAATAAAGACCAACACGTACTTACTCTCCCTAGGATAAAGTCAACACGTACTTACCCTCACCAGGAATAACAACATAATCTACCATAAAGGGGAACTCCAGTCACCTGTTTCCCTGAGGTATTCTAAGCCCTTCTCTCCTCCCCCCTCTTTCCCCTCTCTTTCAGTGGTCTTTCCCCCCTCCCTTCCCATTCCTTTCTCCCTTTCTTCCCCTTCCCTTCTCACTTTCTTCCCTTTCCCTTCTCACTTTCTTCCGCTTCCCTTCTCACTTTCTTCCCCTTCCCTTCTCACTTTCTTCCCCTTCCCTTCTCACTTTCTTCCCCTTCCCTTCTCACTTTCTTCCCCTTCCCTTCTCACTTTCTTCCCTTTCCCTTCTCCGTTTCTTCCCCTTCCCTTCCCCCCATCTCAATCTTTCGCCATTCTTCGACCTTCGTCTCTTCCCTATCACACTCTTCATACTTTTACTTCTCTCTCTCCTTCTGTTTTATTCTTTCTTGTTAACCTTCCAATTTCTTCCTTCTTCCATTAGCCTACCTCTTCCTCATCACCCCTTTCCTTCCTCCTCCCCATCACCTATCTTCTTCCATTCCTCCTCTTCCTCCTCTCCATCCCTACCCCTTATTCTCCCTCACCAATCCAACAATTATCAGCCGCTGTGGTGATTGTCCAAGCAGTAAATCCTCTCTTTCCCGGGTCTCGTATTAGTAGCCCTGATTCGCGGCTTCGTTATCAAGGCTGTTAAGGTACATGTTTCACGGTTCGGAGGCCACAGCTAAGCAAGCACATTACCTGAACAGCTTATTGTGTCTTTAACGTGTGTGTGTGTGTGTGTGTGTGTGTGTGACGATACTTTAATAATTGTGGGATATAATTTAGGCAATTATCTTTCTTCTGAGGTTGTTAGGGGTAATGGAGAGAGAGAGAGAGAGAGAGAGAGAGAGAGAGAGAGAGAGAGAGAGAGAGAGAGAGAGAGAGAGAGAGAGAGAGAGAGAGATCGCACGCTACCAGGCTGCTGATAATAATCTCGACAAAACCAATATTTATAAGTACAATACATGAATACTTAAGCGTTAAATGCATCTTATATACGCATAATGAGACTCAGCTTCGCCCACAGTTCCATAAATTGAGCACTACACATCGCACAATGGCTTTAATTCACGTAGTTATAATGAATAAAGAAAGAATATATTTTGACACAATGGCGAGTATTTACACCAGATAATCACTCTGCTTTTAGGGGTCTTTTAAACCATTGTGCCGTTATCCTTGTGTCCCATTAACCACTTGTTAAACACAGGATTACGTGTGTGTGTGTGTGTGTGTGTGTGTGTGTGTGTTGGGGTAGTTAATCCATACTTAATACACTTCCATATTTGGGTGTAATAGTTCATCGTTGTTTAACTTTCTCTTTAATAAACACCACGGGGAAATTATTTAGCTATTTGTATTTCGTGTTTACTTTTTATAGGACGAGGTGTCGATGCAGCACACGTGGTCGGTACTGCACTTATTCGACTTCATTTCCTCGACAGTAAAGTTTGATCTTGCTCCGGGGATACAAGTAGCGTCCTAGTTACTGGTACTGTTGTTGAAAATCTAAAGTAATGTAAAGGACAGATTGGTTACCATACAACTAGTGAAGGGAAAAATAACGGTGTGTGTCTATACATTTATCATCATTTAGTAAAGAGTAAATAACATTAAAATAAAACACACACAAAAAAAACAGATTCATCATTCAATAAAAACACCAACTGTTTTTTGTTTTTGTTGTTTTTTGCTTTAATTTAATCTGCAGTAGCCTCGGAAAAAAAAAATATCTATTCTGGATACAGGAAATGTTTCTTACATGTATGCAAATATAACAACAAAGATGCACTCTAATGTATTAAGGTAGTGGTGGGTCAGGCAGGAGAATAGGAAGGCCTTCAAGATAGTTGACAAAGTGCTACGGTCGGCAGTGTGTGTGCATGGCGTACTTAATAAACGAACACGTACGGGAGGCCTTTATGGTCATGAGTTATTTGCAAGGTTACTACTACTACTACTACTACTACTACTACTACTACTACTACTACTTTTTTTTGTAACGTGGCCCCCAGCCTCCCCCAATAGCCACACCTTCGCCACCATTTAATTACCTTAATATTAAATATCCTAATACATAAGAAGCTATCCTCTCTGTGTTAAATTAGTTGAGCCGCAGATCTATGCGGCATTCAGTCGGAGTAGGGGCAGAAGCTCTCGTTCCCTTGTGGCAGAGCAAAGCCGACCGAAGGAGAGAGAAAGACAGTCGACATCTCATCCAGGCTGTAACATAACTTCTGGGCTGCTGCTTCCGTTCGGAGATTACCTCCGCGAGTCTGGCGTAGAAACATCTTGCACTGGGCCCATCCCACCAGAGGTTGTGAACACTAGAGGAGTGAAGCTGCCTTGATCAACATTTTGAATTCTCTCCCCATATGCCCTTCTCTTGTCGTTCTCGTTCCTCCTATGTGCAGCATCGAGAGCTAGGTTACGGTGACATGCGGCCATGGGATCAAAAATCCTGATGTCGAAGAAGGCTCGCTGTCCCCGCGTCCAGAATCCTCGAGCACTGACGTCCACACGGGCTTCGTTAGATGTGTTTGAAGTCCTGTGTTGGAAGATCTCACCGTCCAATGGAAGGAGGGTCGGTTCTACCATGACATCCCGGCAGATTTCCTTCAACATATTTGCTGTGAGGTCCCTTACCTCATCATGCCTCATGCATATGAAGGCCCCTTTCTTGCACACCATGGCGTGATCGCCATCATAGGAAGAACCACACACACATTGGGAGGGCAAACCTTCTACTGGCCGACCGTACCTTAGAGCAATGGCATCTACTACTACTACTACTACTACTACTACTACTATCAATATAATATTCACTGACATGGACCTCACCTCTCTCTCTCTGACACACACACAGCCAATGCCCAGACTAAAACAGACGCTTTCTTCCCCGATAAAAATCTTCCTTTCGAACAAAATCATTTTCGTCTTGATTGGTTTTTCAAGACAATTTCCGAGTATGGCAATTTGTAATAGTATTATCAGGAGGCTATTTACTTCCTGCACCTGAGGGAAGGTAGTATCTGTGCAATTTTCTTATTG